GTCTCGCCTTACCAGATCCTACATTAGGTTCTATTCCAACCGTGCGAAGGCATGTCGTTGTCATCAGAGCCACCCTATTTGATGTAAATATCAAGGCGACTGAGACTAAGAATGACTTACATGTCTCTGGTCGGTGTGGTTTTCACTGCTCCTGTTATGTTGAGACATGCTTTTCTTTAAATGTGTTCTAGTTTGCGGACAGCTGTCAAGTTTTGGGTTTTCGGTACCCAGACAACTGCATCGTATGTTAGCATAGGTCGACGACTCTGGGGGAAAGACCCCAGGTGCGCGCCACGGTTCGACGGTATTATTCACAAGCATTGTATGCTTTTTACTCCCTTCTTCCTGTGGACATTTCCTCACAACTAAGCCTCTTATATTCATATATTCTATATTTTGTATATATTTGTCCATGATAACTCATAAATGGCAGGTAATGAGAAACATAAAATTTTAAAAGTAAACTTTAATCCATCGCAAGGTACTTTTAAGGAGGAGTTTTTCTACTGAAGATATATATTTTTTATTTTTTTATAATTTATAATTAGAGAAGAAAATTCTTTGAATAAGAATTGTTTGTGATACCATTCTCTATAATTTTTGTCCTATACATGATATCTCCAAAATAGTAATTAAGAAATTTGAAGAAGAGTGGAAAATTTTAATTTTTTTGTAATATTGTTGGTAATGAAGATATAATACTATCCCTAATTCACCCCCTTACCAGTGAATTTTAAACCCTGAAGTTGATTGAGCTACTTGTGTAGGGGAAGGGTCGGTTATTATTATTATTTACCGTAGAGCTCTGGGGTGACAAAGATGATTGATGGCGCCATTTGACTTACAGGTGAGGAAAACCCCACCCACCATCATATAGAATATTACATTACATATTGTTCTAGACTGCCCAATGTAGGTACATTACCTTAAGAGATTCATTAATTACTGAAATACGTGGTCATTGAAACGATTTGGGTTCCTTACTAGCATCAACAAACGAAGACAAAATTCGGTAATTATACCAGTGTGCAATGAAATTAAAATTTATAATTATATATATTATATATAACTAAGTACTATTTTTTACACTTACATTTATATTCTAATTTTTGTTACTCCGTGCATTTTTATTTATTTATGGGCAAGCCCATTTGAGAAATAAATTACAATTTTACATTATAATTAAAATGTAGTGAAATATATATGGTGCTGAAATACAAACGTGGTATAATTCATTACATATAGACTAAAATAGGTAAAGAATTTAAAAGATTTAAAAAGACAAACGACAATAAGGTTAAATAAAAAATTTACATTAAACATTAAAAGTTAAAAATTAAAGCTCAGTACTAATTGCTTTATAAATTTATAAAAGGGGGTGTTAAATATATCACGTTCGTTATGAGTGTAGGCTAATCCAAACTTGGAATACAGCTGCTTAAAGTATGGTTTAAACCACAAAGCACATAGAGGTTCCACGTGAATGACCAAGGTCAAAACCGACAACTAACATTTTTTATGCTATTTGCTCCAAACTCTAGATGGAGCTACTGGTAAAATTCTGATTTCTTACTCCATTTTTAAGCTTTATGGGAGAAAAACAACCAAAGACTCCAAAGATGTGATGTGTATTTATTTATGTTTTTGGTTAATCTCATTTTTCCGTCTGATTTTAGTGATTTTTTTGTTGGCTTTGGCTTTTGGTTTCTGTTTATAGTTTCGTCTTAGTTATTTGCAAAATTGTGATGTTTTGCTTTTATATTTCCTACTGTGTTTTGCAATAATTTTGGTGCTACCTGTGGGTGCTACGTTGAAAACGTCAAGAAAAACTTCATTGATTTACCATACATCTGCATCATAAAAAGACAAACGGGTATAACAACTAATTGATAATTAATTTATCACTGGACTAGATTCCGAAATCATTTTTCACATAAGAGAGTAATACACAAAGCAGTGAAGTAATACCACCATCTGTATTTGGAAGGAAAATACCTATTTATCATTGAATGAATAGTTAAAAGGATTCACCTTTTAATACAATACCTATATTACATTTGTCCTCGGTTTAAAAGACATTTATAAAATATATTATTTTAGTGTTAATAAAATGTAATATCCTAGTCTCTACTTCACATTTAAATTATTGATAGGTATTTTAAAGATTTGAGATTGTATACCTATTTGCTGCAAGTAAGTATTCGTTAAATATGTATTATTATTTGTATTTATTTTTATCTAATAATATTTATTTAAGTTATTAATAAACATATTTTAAGAATGTTCTATTTTATTATTTATTGATATATCTTATATTTATTTAATAATAATATGCAGAACCAACTCTCCACATCAGACCCCTGCTTATAACAAATTAATTCCTCAAATTTGGTATAATCGACCTAAATTATTTTGTAAAATAAAAGTTTCGAACTTACTAGTTCCATTCTTTATTTTATAAAATTATTTATGTGGAAATCATTTAAAATTTAATTTAAAACTACTACCTACTCCTAAAAATTACAATTTGAATTTACCGCCATCTGTCAATTGTCATTTTAGTTCCAGCTCCAAACACAAGGTGTCGCTAATTTGGTTTAAAAGTTTAACATTGGCGTGGGGTCTCTAGAAGATAGAACAGAAGTAAAAGTTGGAAATGCTTTTGCCAGTTCTCCCACTTTATACACATAAATTGACAGGTTGGCAGCGGATATCCCCGAAGTGGACGCGATACATTGGCGTACAAAATTATTTTATAGATGTTAATAACAATTTCGAGTAAATAGTTTAATAAATTGTGAATAGCTGTTGAAATTTTGTAAAATTATAATTTGAATATTATAATACATGTTTAATAATTATTTATAATCCATAAATACATGCAATTGTCCGGTTCCGCCGATAACAATTTAAAATTACTTATTCTATGAAACGACACTGGCAGGTAAACATTACTGTGAAATTCTCGGAGCCGGCCGACGTGGTTTGACGTTTACCCCCTCTCTACCTACCAAAAGACTTTTCAACTTTTACTTTCTCTCTACGTGCTTTGTGGTTTAAACGATAAAAAGGTACATAAAATGTTTGTTGCTGTCGAGTTGAGCAGGTTGGAACATAAAGATTTAGTTTTGTTAGAAGTTCAGTACAGCTGCTCTGCCATTGATAATTTTGAAAAGTTATGTCAGGTATCTCTGTTTCCTCCTAGTTTCCAAAAGGGTCGTTTGATTTGAGCGAGCGTCGAGGAGACCAAGAAGTGATAACGTCATAATAGATTATTGAATCAAATCAAATAAAACAGAGTAAAAACCCTAACCTCGCCTTAATTTTTGTGAATCTCGTATCTGTGTCAAAACATTGAACAAACAGTAAAGAAAATGGAAAAACTTTTAATAATAAGGGACAAGTCCCTGAAATGCCGCATATACTACAAATGCCTGCCCCTCTTTGACACTCCATTACTATGATTATTTTTTATGATGAATAATTTTAGCTTTTAGCACACTTGACTGGTCTCGAATTTTGAAATTCAAGTTTATTTGTAGGTTAATTACAAAGAGATATGTAGAGACTTAGAGACAAAGACAAATTTCTCTGTCTTCTCGATCCTTCTACTCAGAGAACATCGAGCTCACTCTATGTTCTCGCTCCAAAGCGAAACAAACACTTTTGGGATCGCTCGGAGTGTCAATTCAAAACGTACGCAGCGCTCGGAGATCTCCAATGATCAAATCAAACGCACCAAAAGAGGGGATGTTTAGAAACTTCTCTATCAAACCATACTCGCAAAGGACACCCAATTTATAGGCTATGTATCTATGAAATTTATGTTGCACATTTTCTATGTTTCTGCTGTGCCTTATGTATTGTGGAGACCAAACAGAAGAGCAATAATCTAGGTGAGGTCGGACTAGTGAACAATAAAGGACTTGCAGTTGTGTCAGTAACATCATGTGTTTGCCTTTTGATAAAACCTAACATTTTCATGGATTTATGGATAACCTTAGGTATGTATTGATTAAAGCTTAAAGTGGGATCTAGAATAACTCCAAGGTCTTTAATTTGATTAACAGTCTCCAAGATATGACCATTTAAGTTATAATCAAAAGTAGTAGTTGGTACATTTTACTCTTACTCTAATTTACTCCTACTCTGTATATTTTCTTCTACTGTGTAATCATATATAAGTATAGTTGAACATTTTTGTCTCTTGTAAAAATTAATTATTTCTTCATACACACTGCCGAACTGATATATAGATGGGTACAATCAATTGTGAGAAGATCTTGATATAAATTGGGAAAATGAGTTTTTTTAATGTTGACGAACCATCTAGAAACAACAATTCTGGTGGAGGTGTCATTACCCGAAGCTTCGATTATTAGTCGATGGACGTCTGGAATATTCGATAGCAAGCCTGCCACATAAGTATATAAATATACTAAGTTTTGTCCTTGTTCCAGTTGATATACCGTTCTGTTCAAATAAATATTGTCAGTAAATTGTAAATTAATGTATCAGTAAAAAAAATATAAATTAGTGTTGTATTTAGTACAAATAAATCAGTGAAAATAAATGTAACAACAAATTGTTTACATAAATAAACGTTACATTATTTAAAGAGGAAGGCATGTTACCACAGAACACCAATGGGATTCAATTCCTACCTTTCCTACCCGAAATGATATTAACTGTAATTCGTAGGAGTAAAAAATCAGCATCCGTTGCAAATTGAACAATATACTAGGTGTAATGCACTGCTGCTACCCATTTTTAATTAGTTTTAATATTTATAAAACAGTGACATCTCATCATATACTATAAACTAATCAAGATAATGAAAAGTGAAAGTTGATAAAATATAGATAGACATAAAATAATTAGGCATATTATGTCACATGACATAGATAAAATGTGACATATATCATGTGAAATCATGGAAACTAGTTAATAAAGTGGGTGTTTTGTGGATACCTATTTTTCATTTGATTTTAACTTTTCAGATAATGGCTGTGATAATTTGCGACACTGGCGTAGCGTTGCTAGCTTACATGGATGGAATAACAGGAAGCCCAACACTTGGGGGAGTCGTTCTTGCCACATCTGCAGCAGCTGGATCAGCTGTATACAAAGTATGAATTTCTAAATAGAGTTGGATGATTTTTCACGAACTGTGATTTATTCACTGATATTTAACGTACTAGTAACGAATCATGAAGTTATTGAAATATCACGATACCGCACAACTCTCTGTTTATATCTTATAGTATTTACAAGTTATAAATACATGATTTTGTATATTTAAGGTGTTGTTCAAGAAGGTGATAGGAGACGCGACCTACGGCCAGGTGGCGCTGTTCTTCTCGCTCATCGGCATGCTGAACGCTGCTTTCCTCTGGCCACTATGCCTGGGGTTATTTCTGATGGGGATCGAAACCCTCCATTGGGACATGTTACCGTGGCCAGCGTTGTTAACGTCAAGTGTTCTTTCTCTAGGTAAATTATGGTTACTCAGTCTTTTTTTTTTTTTTAATCGTTTGGTTGTATTAACTGTACTAGTTTAGGGCCGGTACTTTCTGCCTCTGGTTAAACACAGGATTAAGAAATCACGTATTTAAATTTAACCAAATGACTTAATCATGATTAAGCAATATTGAGTACTTTACTACTATTTTAACACCGTATTTATAAATCAGGTTTTAATATCGGTTGGCAGCAACGAAATTGTCCCGGAAATAGGAAGTAATAAAATAATTCAATTATGTTATACTTCAGTTGACACTGGTCCTTTTTTTTAATGAATATAAGTAACTTAAATAGCTGGCGACCGAAATACTGTGATCACAGCAGTCATGAAAATGAGTATACAAATTCATACTTTCCTACCATATAAAAAATGATGTGTGATAGCGAGGAAAGGTTATTCTTTAATTTTACATTTTCTGTTACGAAATTAATTACTAATTTCTTATCAGTAAAACATACAAATATTAAACATATTATAAGAGATTCATTTATAAACACCTATTTGTCTTTTATGATAAAAAGTGAGTACCTACCTGTATAATTTCCATCAATAAATATTCAAATTAAAGAAAAACCGAACTCGGCATGCTATAAATATATGATTGAGAACGAAACAAAAAAAAGCTAAAGCCATTACTTTAAAAAAAAAAACAAAAATGGATCAAACGAAAACGGGGAAGGGGGCTTTCATCCAACCGTATTTTATATGGTTTTGATTTCTTAGGCAACATTATTTAAATTTTCCTTTTTGAAAAAAATCTTAAAAAAATGTATTATCATAATCTCCAAATTCTAAAATAAACGTTTCTTTCTTGTACAGTTTAAATTCATGAAATCATTAAACATTTTCTTAGTCAAACTGACAATTCGAAATATATGGTTAAGAAACCTTGGTTAAAGTTATAATCATAGTTTTCAGAGTTATTCAATTTAAGGCATTTATAAACTTACCAAAACATACTTAAGGTTTGGTTACTCTGATGACGTCATATGGTAATATATGTAACTACATCTATTGAGGCATTTCTTTGTAAGCTTACTAGAACATACTTTAATAAAAAATAACAAAATCAAAACATACTAAAACTTCTAAAATTCAAATTCCGTTTAGAAATCTTCATACTTAAATTAAATTTGACATATGACATTCAATAATAGGGTTACCACGGTATGTGTGACGTCACCGCAGTAATCACAATCACAGAACACTTATCACAATTAGGCATTCCAACGACCTGTCAAACAATAGGTGCCAGTGGGAAATTCTTGTATATTTAAGGGGGGTAGCGACATAGTCTTGCAACTTGGACCATACTTGGACGCTATTTTTATTCGAAGTAGTACTCGCCAAGCCTGCCAATTTATGAAGAAATGTATAGGTGGGTTTTTTAAATATTATTTTTATCGTGTTTGACATAAAATATTTAAATGTAATCCATTATTCATGATTTTACGTAAAGTAGATAGAATACACCATATGTCGCCACCCTTAGATATACCAAACCTGCCCACTGGTAATTAATTTGCTTAGAATGCCTAATACTGTAACTAAGTACGTTGTGGTAAGCTTATAAAGAAATGCCTTTTACAGCGTCACGCCTCTTTTTTTATCCTGATTAAGCTTAAACAACAGTGAAAGGACTCAAGAAATTAAATTTAGTTAATCATGGTTAAGTAGGCCCTTAGTCTATAAAGAAGACATTGTATATGATATTCAATCTTTTGTTTAGTACAACTACTACAAAACATTTCTTAGCTTAATTTATTCATAAGAATCAAAACTCGATTCCCTATCATATAACGACAAGCAAATCATATGCCTTTTCTGCCACCAGTTTCCTAGCTATTAAAAACTAGTTCACTTTTTTTGTCTAGTCCGTAATAAGAAAATAAATAAAAAATAATAGTTTGTGCAGCAAGAGTGGATATGATGGCCATGTCGCACGAAGACGAAATTTGAGCAAGACGCCGTAGGGCGGAGTGCTCAATCGTCTGAGTACGATGTGCATGATTCACTCGAGTTGTACAGAATATTTTTTCTACGACCCACTTACGAAAATTTACAAATAAAAAAAATATTTTAGGTTATTAAGACAAAATAACTAATTTTAAAATAATTTATGGCTTTTAATAATTTTTTAAATAAAATAACCAAAAAAATGTCGAGTCTTCCGTGTGGAAGGCAAGAAGGCTAACCACAGGACCATCTATTCTTTTATTTTTGTTGCTTTAATACTCGAAATTAAATTGACTTCATATAGTTTTATTTAAATTAACAAATTATTTATAATTATGGATGAAATAAAAACAGAAATTTATCGATTCTATACATGAATAACTTATTTTAATGTATGTTAAATCTTAATAACTAAAAAATATGCTAACAATCAGTTGGACAGAATTGTCACTTATTAAAATTTTAAAAATAATAGCAATCGGTTGATCAAAATATGAACGGTGATTGGTGGATTTCATTTTTTGCAGTGTTTGCACTACCTAGAATGGATATGAAATATATTCGTTCAGTTGAAGGCTATAGCATACTTTTTTGTTTTGTAATATGTGTATAGATAGGCTAATATCCATGTGGCTGTAGAAAAAAATCTTTTTTGATTAAAAAAGAGACAGTAAACATCGCTGTCCTCTATTTGACTGTTAGTAGACAATAATGCTACATAAAAGCATGTTATCTCATATTGATGACAAATGTGTAAAAATCTACCGCCCTAAGTATACCAATGTTTTAAATATTAACATTTATTTTTTTTTTTTTTTTAGTTGCCAACTTATTGGGTAATTTTAGTATAGCTCTAACCTACGACTTATTTATAACTTTAGGACTTATAACAGCCGTCCCTGTGTCTGCAGGTAAGCCCAAAACAATTTATATTTAGAACTCAATAAATATATTTTAATAATGATAGACTGATAGACCGAGGCATGGTAACGGTTTTTATAAAACAATTAAAAAAAATAACCAACCTTAATAGAAGAAAATAATTTCACAAAAACTGTCGCTATCACCCGGTCTAAATAAGAAAATGAAAACGCAAATGTTCCTCCAATTTACCTTTTTTGTATATCGGAATTGAAAAGTACCTTACTGTCGTCATCTACCTGAAACTATTCGCGATTCAAGCTAAGTGATACGCCCTCTGGAGGAAATTTGTAGAAGGTCCCTATAAGTAGGATATCGTTCAGTGTTGCCAGAAGTAGCAAAATTTCGCTACGTCGTCGGATTTGAGCTCTTGAAGAAGTGGATAAGACCTTTTATTTAAGAATCAAAATTTATGTATAGTAATATGTAATCATACTCTATATTTATTTAAGGAATTTTTTATAAAACCGATTTATTATATTGTTTTTTTTTTTTTAATTTCAGTTTATTTATTAATTTTGTTTTAAAATCAGTTCATCATTTGGCAAAATTAGCGTTCGTGTTCATTGTTTACATTTTAATTTGTATCAATTACAATTCGAGTTTTTTCTTACTTTTTAGCTTTAAATTATTTTATATCTAATAGTATGTGATAGTGTTCATATTAAAAATTAAATCTGCGAAAAAGTCCCCAGCAAATTGCAATCTTATTGTGTTAATGTCAAAATCAAAACTAAAGTGCAAGTCGTAAAATTTTGTTTTTTACGATAAATGGATATTTACAAATTCACACTATTGAAATTTTGCAAAACTTTGTTTAGAATCAAACTGTAATCTGATTTGTTACGGTTTTATTACCACTTACATGTATACAAAGTTCTACATAATGCATTTCATAATAATTAAAGAATAAGTCTAGTAAGATTTTTAAATAAGTTTGTCAATAATAAACGTTTGGTAGGTACCTATAATGTCCTTTAAACCACATATTAAAACATGTCCTGGGCTTAGTAAATACATATTTCTAGATGTTCTTGTAGCAACCAATAGGTGAATATTTCCAACAAATTAAGTCATACACATGATAAATATTATATTTATGACGAAAGCACGAGACTTTAACTTAAATTAACACTAAATGAAACTCAAAAACACTGTTACAATAAGAATATTATCTAAAAACAGTTAAAAAAAATCACAAATACAAAATCCGCCCAAAACAAACACATGTAAATAAACAAACATCCTACTTATAGGTGACAAATGACAGGCGCGCGAAAATTAATTTGAATCGCGAATTGGAAACGCTGATGATAAAATTATCTGTTGTTTCTTCTAAAGTTTATCCTATGGTTAAGACAATTATATCATCAGCAAATGTTATAAGTGTATAATAAATATAATACTGGCCCAAGAGCACTTCCCTAGGGAACGCCAGCATAATATATTCAGTAGTGCAGAGCCAGACTGTGCCTCGCATATTCTCGAGACAAATGTGGAGATATCCCTAAATAACTTTTATGAGAAAAGGTCGATAGCTCGCCGAGAACTAGTGGGATGGCCTGCAAGATCTCCCGACATTAATCAATTTGTTTGTATATTAAAGCGAAGGGCCAATTCCTACAAAAACTACGTCACAACATAACTGAAATTTTTGAAACAATAACTGTTACTTTCAAAAGGCAATTAATAAGGAAAACTACTAAAAATAGTCTTTGTTTCTACCAAGAAGTTAATGGAGAATATTTCAAGAAATAATTTCTTATGTAGAAACTTTGTATGTTTTACTCTTTGTTTGTTCTTAAGCTGTCTCTGTTGCTCTTGTAATGGGTTCTACAAATCTTTTAATGTATTTTTCTTTATTTTTTAGCCCTAGATGTTGTACTGTATGGTGCAAGCTTCGAAGGAATGAAATTAGCAGGAATGATTTTGATAGGAGTAGGATTTTTCCTTGTCATGTTTCCTGACAATTGGCCTGATTATATTACAAGGCTCTTGAGGTAAGTGCTTCATAGATCTTGCTAAGCTCTTCTTTAATTATTAAAAATAAATTCAAATTAATCATTTTTTAACAAAAGTTGCAAGTTGTACTTACAATTAACACTAACTTTAAAGCAAAGTAGTGCCTACTTGAATAAAAAAAAATATTCTTACTGAATTTTACCAATAACTTATTTTATTATCTTATCTAAAAAGAACATTGAATAAAACCAAGCCATCTTTCTGGATTCTCGGAATAATGCAAACGATCAATGGTACTGAATCTCAAATTGAATTGCTGGATTTTACATTACGATATGCCCAAAACTAAACTTCAGATTAGAGAAAGCCCAGATTTATTCAAATATCAATAAAAATTTGCCCTTGTTTAGAATTGAAAGCAAGGCAGCTGATAAATATTTTTTTTGTAAAGCTGGTTTAAAGCTGTATTCAATAATTTTTGTTCAGTTTGGGTAACGAGTCACTTAAAGTGGACTTTACTGAAAATAGTTTGACAAATGTTTCAGTTTTTCTCTTAACCGAAGTGATAATTGTTCCATCTTTAATGTTGATTGGGGAAAGGAACTGTTAAGGAAAATCTGGTTGGAATAAGACCACGATGGATAATAGTAGTTATTACAGATTTTCTAACCCTAATTGTCGGGTTTTCTCACTCAACTTATGACCGTCTGATTCTGGTAACACTGGAGCACTGTAATAAAAAAAAGTTAAAGTCTGTTGGTTTTTCATTTGGAATAAGAACTGAAAAACTGAATTCATAAATCCAAAACCATATTTCTGCTAACTAGGCAGAAAATAGACATAATCTCTTTTACTGAAGATACACCGTCTAAAGGGAAAAGAAAGTATGACCCTCAATAAATATGCATAGTTCCAATTATCCCACTTATTTTACATCAAAAATATATAAAGAAATAACTTTAATATCAAGCATAAGTACGAAACATAAATACAAAAATAGTAAGCACCGTAACTACTGACTACTGATTTCGTCGCACAGCCATTGAAACCCTTCAGACATACCAGTTCCTCTCAAAGCACAAACTGCTTGTATATGCCACCTCCTCTCTTTTATATCATTGAGTTTGAGCTTTTCTGTGATCTCAGCTAAGCTCATGGCTTCAGCAACGTCTTGTTTGTTGGCGAATATCATCAACGCCGCTGTTTGGAGCTCCGGCTCGAAAGTTAGACTTTTTAATGCTGCAGCAGCTTCTTCTATTCGCTCCTTGTCGCAAGAGTCTACCACGAAAATCACACCTAAAAACGTTTTAATACGTTTAGTTTTTATGATTCTAATTTTCTCATGCAGTTAGATTTTTAGACTTTTCAGTTTCGGTTGGGATGGTATCAATGGAAGAAGTGAAATCACGATTAATATCTAGAAAACTGCATCTTAAAGACAATCAAATGTAAATAAAACTTGAGGGGCATGAAGGAGTGCATATTAGTCAACCAAATTTGTCATTCGCATCGTTATTTCTGGGCCTGGCTCCTCCCTTCTTCTTCTTTTTTTTTTATTCATCTTCAATTTCGGTGAGTAAAACATTAAATAAGAAGAAAGGTTTTTTGAATAAAAGTTCCTTGACGGAATTATAAATACAACAGCAATAGCAACGTAGCAGATATTGGTTAAGGTGGGCCGTAAACACTTTTGAACTGTTAAAGTCTCCAGGTGTGGATGGAATATTTCCTGCCCTGCTTCAGCAGGCACAGGAGGAATTACTACCACACATAATCCGGCTATCCCGGAGCAGTCTGGAGCTGGGATATATACCAGAAGCATGGAGAAGGGCCAGAGTCACCTTCATTCCAATAGTAGGGAAAAAGGATACCACACATCCTAAATCTTTCCGCCCAATCAGCATCACATCCTTTGTATTAAAAACAATGGAGAAAGCTGTTGATAATTATATCAGAATAGAAGTCGTGGAGAGGGTGCCACTCCACCACAGCCAACACGCGTACCGAGCAGAAAGATCTACAGAAACTGCCCTGGTACAGTTGACTGATGTAATCCAGGATGCACTGACAAACAAAGAAACGGTCGTGTGTGCCTTCCTAGACATAGAAGGAGCTTTTGACAACACGAATCTGTAAAAAGAGCACTTGCATACAGAGGAGTAGATAACATCACATCCAGATGGATGGCTCAGCTGTTATCTACGAGAATTGCAAAGGCACAGATAGGGCAGGACACCATTTCCATCTGCACAACCAGAGGATGTCCACAAGGAGGAGTTCTATCCCCACTAATGTGGAGCCTAATCGTAGACGAACTTCTATGCAGATTGACTGACCTCGGCATACCCTGTTAAGGTTATGCCTACGACATAGTCATATTTGCTAGTAGCAAGTTTAGTAATATCCTGTGTGATATAGTCCAACGAGGACTAGAACATACCAAAAGATGGTGCCATGAAGTGGGACTTAATATAAACCCTACAAAAACAACACTAGTAGCCTTTTCAAGGAAAAGAAAACTTAATCTCAAAACCGTTAAATTAGACGGGATAGATATAGAATGCAAAAATTAAGTCAAATATCTGGGCCTAACCCTAGGGCTGGAACACACATGAGAAGGAAGTAGTAAATAAGGCCAGAAAAGCCCTAATGGTATGCAGAAACATTGCAGGTAAACGATGGGGATGCAACCCAAACATACTGCAATGGATGTATACTGCAATAGTGAGACCAATCATCACTTACGGAGCTATAGCCTGGAGTAACAGAACTAGTTTAGCTACTACGAGAGCTAATATCTCAAAAGTATAAAGACTAGCCTCTGTTTGCATTACTGGTGCAATGAGAACCTTTCCTACGGCCGCAATGGAGGTGATCTTAAACCTCACCCCTCTACATTTGATGATAGAGAATGTGGCAAAAAGGACACGATATAGAATGATCAGGAACGGAGTAATCAGACGAAAGTCTACTTGCTTCAGGACTAAAGATACCTGGGACATGCCCAAGGATGAAATGCAAAAGAAGTACAGTTTTGTGAAAAACTTCAAACCCACAGAGCTGGGCTGCAAGAAAGAATGGAGCCAAGAATTCATCGCCCTTGCAACGAAAAGACGTGCTATTCAGTGGTATAGGGATGGTTCCAAAACCATAGAAGGAACTGGAATAGGAGTGTATGGGCCGAGAACCAAGCACTCCGAAAGCTTGGGAAAATACCCAAGCATCTTATAGGCGGAACTTTACGCTATCGAGAAGTATATCCAGTTTAACATCGAGAGAAACTATCATAGACAAGAGATTATCATTATGTCCGATAGTCAAGCAGCCATCAAAGCGCTAAGCTTTTACGTAATCAGCTCAAACATGGTCTGGAGATGCCTAGAACAATTTAATGAGCTAGGCGAGAAAAATAGAGTTACTCTCACTTGGGTCCCGGGACATAACGGGGTACAGGGTAACGAAATTTCAGATAGTCTTGCAAGAAAGGGGCTCAAACACCCTTTGTAGGACCTGAGCCGTTCTGCGGTATCAGCAGTAACATAATATTAGGAGAGATTAAAAAAGAATTGGGCAGTAGAAGAACCAATAATTGGAACAATTTCTTGGGGCTGAGACAGGCCAAGATACTTCTGGGTGAATAAAACCAGAAATGATCGGAAGCCTGCATCTGCCTGAGCAAGAACAGGCTACATTGTATCAGGGATCATTACCTGGCATTGCCGACTAAAAGGACACCTAAGTAAACTGAGAGTAGTAGAGGATAGTGAGTGCAGATTCTGTGAGGAGGAGGACGAAACCTCCATGCACATCCTAACTGAATGTCTAGCACTCCAGAATCCAAGGGCACTATATCCAAGGATATCAAATAGAAGAGGGAGATTTACCTAACTTGAAGCCACTACAAATCCTACAATTCCTTGAGAAAATAGGATTGGAAGGGTCGCTATAGGCATTGAGACATTTCCTTAGTGTAATGGCGACAGAAGGGGGCACAATAGATCTTTTAGGTCGCAGTGTATTAACACCCCATTCTCAACATAACATAACGTATATACCTACTGATTAGAAAAATTATTCTTGGAGAAGGATAAGAAGGAGAGAGACATGTCTCAATGTAATTCCTGTCGAAATTAATAAAATTATGTGGCATTTTCAATAAAATCTAAAGTATAAATTGTAACAATACTTTTACAATCATCGAATTGTCGATGCACTTTATGGACTAAGAATGTTTTATTTTTGGTCTGTATTTAACATAAATCAAAAAGCTTACCACTAACCTTGTGTGTGAGCAAAGTAATGCCTCCAAAGTCTTCTTAGTTTATCCTGACCTCCAACATCCCAAACAGTAAATTTAGCGTTGGCAAATTCGACAGTTTCAACGTTAAATCCAACTGTTGGTATCGTTCTTGTCATCATACCTAACAAAAATACTAGTTAGATAAATAAGATGCTGTTAATGGTAACACTTTTAATATCACAGATAAAAAACTACTTTCCTAAAATTCAGAAAAATTATAGTTTGAAAAAATTTCTTTTAATCTGAGAAACGGATTTTCAAAATTTGGTAAAATATGAAATTTTTTATACCTAATTTAATTCTATATAAAATTGTAGTTTTTCCAGCTCCATCTAAACCTAGCATCAATATTCTAAGTTGCTTCTTACTGGTATAAAATTTACTGAAAACCATTGAAAATATGGATCCCATCCTTTCATATTTTTGACGTAATGAATCATTAGGTAATTGTCATTTGACATTTTTTTAAATTTAGGCATTTTTAAAAACGTAACTAATAAATTTGACTTCATAAATGATACTACGTCGCATTAGTGATGACGTAGGCATTATGCAAAAAGGAGCAAACAAAGTTGAGTTCAGCTTAGTGGCGGATTTCTAAATAGGCTAGCTAGGCTACAGCATACGGCGGAAAATTTTCATAGGTGACAAATTTTCGAAGGAAGAAATTTTTTCGGCGGTTACTAAAAGCGGAGTATTGACTTTGCCGAATTTCATATATCTCTACTCGGTTTCTGCAAAAAAAAAAAACTATAACTTGTGGCCAACGACGTGTTGGGAGAAACTAAAGGAAAATGATAAATAACACCAAAGACATTCTATGTACGATGTAGTTCAGGAGATGGTCTTGCAGAGATGATGCTTGATGTCTAATGAGGGTTTTTTAAAGTCTTGGAAAAATATTCTCGATTCTCTGAAATCAGTTTCAAATGACGATTCAGAGAAATCGATTACGAAAGCAATGGGAGCGGGTTTAATCAGGAGAAACACCAGATTTAAAACTGCATTTATGACTGTTTTGTTAGAATATTCTGAATCTCATCAATGTAGTCAGTATAAAACTACAACATAAACACGCAAATATTGGATTGGTCATCGTTTTGTATAAATCCTTAATTTCATTCATTTCATATTTTCTTCTATGAACGAAGAGAAAGCGAATGCACTGATTGGTAGGCAGAATTACACTGCAAGGGAAAAGCGTACTAGAAAGAAAAAGCGATATTTCGATGAAGTTTTTTTCAGTGCTAATGATGACTTCAAATTAAACGTTTTTCTTACAATTGTGGATTGATTGGGCTAGCGCTATATTAGGCAGAGTTTTCGAAATTTTCTACGTACTCTTTATGTAAAATTTAATCATAGAAAATTTCAATCTAGTTGAAGAGATCTTGCAACTGTTCTATATTCTGCTGGAATGAAGTTTTTTGTCCTTTATGTGATTCTAATAAATGTTCGTATAATTTTCGTATTCTTTATTTTAGAACCTATTTTTAGCAGCATAGGCTGCGATTTGGTTCAGCCTACAGGCGGCATATTTGTAAATCCGCCCCTTTTTATAGACACAATTTTTAAACTTTTAACAGTAGCAAACTTTAATTTTCTATATCTATGCTTGCAAGCTACTATTTTCCTAGAAATTTTAAATTAAAATAATCGATAGTGTGAGTCAGTATTTTATGAATTAGACAATATCATTGAAGTTTGTATTTTTGAAGATAATTTTAAAAATTTAATTTGTCTTTTATTTTCAAATTACGTTTTTCTGAATTTCAGGAAAATTCTACAAATTAAGTAACCTGTATCAATATGTAGATATTTTTCAACTGCGCCCTGTACAGTAAAAATTCTAAAATTTCTTACTTACTGTTTCATTTATTGATTCTAAATCAAAATTTTTGGCTAAGTATGTATTTTGGAAAAAAACGAATTTTTCATTTTAATTTTTGCAGAAGGTCGAGTCGTATCTTCGAAGGGAAGGTCTGTTTCTATGCTTTCTCTCCTATTTTTAATTTGCTCTTTTGCTATGTAAATATAACCGTTTCTTTTCCAAATTTTATTAATACATTTTGTTTTGTTTAAATGGAGTAGTCCCTGAAAGTAGGGGCTAGAGAACAGTTCTCAAGTTAGCCTGCTGCTTTTGGAAATTTTTAGTTTTGCCACAAGAGGCGCCAAAAATTATGTATGCATTTAAAGTATACCTATATTTTTGGGGTATGTCGCGAAATGGCCCTTATCAAAGAGCGCTTGGACGAAATAGCGCGTATCAAAAGAGCGCCGAATGAAATAGCGTATATCAATAGAACGCTTGAATGAAATAGCGCGTATCAAAAGAGCGCCTAAATGAAATAGCGCATATCAAAGGAGCGCTTGAATGAAATGGCGCATATCAAAAGAGCGCCTGATTGAACTAGCGCTTATCAAAAAAACATCCGTCAAAACAGAGCACGAACGAAATAGCGCTTTTTAAAATAGCTCAGTCAAAATAGGGCAAACAAAATTGAACATAAAATTATTAAAAATACTCTACTAACTTACCTAACCTGTGCGGCCTGTCGCAAAAAATTATACATAAAATAAGAAAATTTAAAAAACCTAATCAATTTACCTAACCTGTGTGAGCAAAGGTTTAATTTTAAATGGTTCCAGGCCGCACAGGTTAGGCAAATTATTTAGGTTTTTTATTTTTCTCATTTTGTGTATAATTTTTTTGTCACAAAAGTTAGGTAAATTAGATAACATTTTTTAATCAATTTATGTAAAAACAATACCTAGCGCTATTTTGAATTGCGCTATTTCATTCATCGGATATTTCGTGGTTGTTTCAATACTCACTATTTCAAGAGGTGCTATTTTATTAAGGCGCTGTTTCGTTCGTGCGCTCTTTGGACTGACGCTCTTTTGGTACGCGTTATTTCGTTCAGGCGCTCTTTTGATAGGCGTTATTTTGAAAAGGAGCTATTTCGTTTAGCGCTATTTTGATCAAGCGCTATTTCTTTCAGCACAATTTTGATCGGACGCTGTTTCTTACAGCGCTATTTTGATCAGGTGCTGAAACAATAGCACTATTGTGATAAGCGCTGTTTTGTGACAAATCCATATTTTTGAAATGTTTATTATACTTTTTCTACAACCACATACATATTTATTAATTGTTGATCAAGTTATTCTAAATGTCAATTTTTTATTTCCAAAATGTATATTATAAAATAAATAAAATATTCAAAATTAATAGAAATCAAACTGAACGATTGTGGTTAGAAAAAAAGATGGTTTGACCAAGAAACCAATGCGTATCCAAATTTAACCTTCCGATTTAATTTACTAATAAAACATAATTTTATTTTATTTTTGACATAAATATAAAGTGACATTTGTTTGTAATCGCAACAAGTGTCAAAATGATCTACTTTACGCAATCAGTTGCATCATTTTGAACATTATGAAACTGGTTTAGAAAAACCTTTTTCGGTTTTAAAATCAATAATGTACATTATTATTAAAAGTTTATATCAAAGAAGGCAGGTTGATATAAAAATAGAATTTGATTAAACTTACAACCTAGTATTGATGTTGTTTTGGTCCTTATTTTCTATTCTAAATCAGAACAAAATAATTAAAGCACAATACACGACAAAATAACCCACTTTTTCGAAAACTATATACCTTTAATAATCCATATAAACAGACTACTAGTCGTTGAAAATAAATATTTACTATTGTTCTAACTGTCAATAAAATGATGCATATGCAACTAACAATACAAGAAAGTAGTAATATTGGTTGCCTAGATATCAGTAATTACTTACCAAAACACAATTTTATAGTCACAAGTAGAATAACTATTGTAATGTAACACGTTACGACATGCCGTTTTATGTAACTCGTTCATGTTGCGGGACCTCGCTCTCCTCGTCCCGCAAATATTCTCTAGTTTCTGAAAAAAAAAAATTCGTAACTGGATTCATAAATAGCTATTTACATACTTTGAAATTGAAATACAAATATTGAGTTTAATAATGAAAAAATTTATCCAGCAAGTGATCCCATCTACTTCTTTGTCATGATAATATTTTTTCCAAATGTGCTTGAATAATGTTAACTCGAATGTGATCTTTTGTTTGAGGATTGTTAGAGTAAGGAAGAAAAGCATAACATAAAATAATCGAGTGGTCGGACGCAAAAATATTCGATCGCCAAATATTTTCGTTAAAAAATTCATTGTTTCATCCACTGTATGGCAAGTCCTGTTAAAACCATATGACATGTTCTGAACATCCACACTCCGTTATCATTGTCCTATATGGAGTTCTATTCACAATAGTTTATACAGTTTTCGTAGCAGGCGGACGTGTTTCGTGTTTGTGTTCGCTCTGTAAATTTTGTAAATTTCTCCCCGATAAATCTATTAATATTTCTTGAACTTTTATAAGTATTTTAGAAAGTGTTTAGAGCTTTTTATAGATACACATATTGTGCATAAAAAGTGCTTCATTTCAAATAGCTAATAATAAACATTATAAATTTGCAACGAACATTTATTAATTTATACGATATATTTGTTCTTTAAAAACTGGTTGTAGTTTTTGCGAAGTAATAATAATAATAATATAATAATGTTTATTCAAAAAGAAATAGTGTTTTACAAGAACAAGATAATGATAATACAATCAGATACAAATAAATAAATATATATAATTTAATTAACAAATTTTTATCGAATAAACATGGACCACCGTACGACTCGCTTATGACCTACACAGGTTGGTGTTAGGTGATAAGGAAATATAAAGGAATCAAAACAAACGACGATATAACGGTGTGCGGACTTTGCACTGGTGGAATCACAGGTAAATCTCCAGGTCTCAAATGTAGTGGCTGTTATCTCTGGTAGTGGCCCATGCCAAACATTGTATCATGTAAAGTGTGTCGATATTACCAAAACAGATATAGCACGCTTTAAAACACAAGGATACTCGTGGGTCTGTCGCGCTTGTAGAACTTCAGCCGATGTGAGTAAAAGGCGATCTGGTGTCATTAGGCCAAACTTCACCAACACCTACCTTACGCATTCTTACTTCCATTCAGAGATAATGGGTCGTATGATTGAACGTTTATGTTATCCGTAACGTACATGTTAGGCCGAGTTTTAACAGTAACAAGGCAAGTTCGTACGATGGAAAACTTTTTCTAACACATTACTGTTATTTTCCGCCTGTTATGTTCTAATTTAACAGGTTTCCATCATAAGAACTTGCCTCGTTACTTTTAAAATTTGGCCTAACATGTACGTTACGGATAACGTAAACGTTCAATCATAGGACCCATTGGGTGCTATGATTGAACGTTTACGTTATCCGTAACGTACATGTTAGGCTGAGTTTTAACAGTAATGAGGCAAGTTCGTATGATGGAAAACTTTTTCCAACTCGTTACT